TGTCTCTGGTCATGATCTCAGAGTTGTGAGATCGAGCCCCACATCTCCTGGAATCTGCTTGAGATTCTCTCTCCCTCTCCCACTGCCCCTCTCCCCCACTTAAAAATAAATAAATCTTAAAAAAAAACCCTATCTCCTGGTATTTAGCCTGAAACCCCTCAATCCTTCCTCATTGACAGGCAATACAGTGTAGGACCATTTAATTCCCAGTTGATTATACAACCTGGTCAGGTTTGCTACCAATTCCCATGGACTTCCCTCAACTTCCATTGGTTGACATGGTTCTTACCTTTCCTTTGTTTTAGGAAGCTATGTCTTTCTCAGCACCCTAACCTCATCACCAGAAACTGAAGAAATGTGAAAGGTCTCAGATTTTATCCTATTTGCAAGCTAACAAGCCAGTCAACCACAGTTTCATAGATGCTAGCATAAGACACAAGACTCCTATGCTAAAGACAAAGATAATTTATTATTCACAGCAAAACAGTGACCAGAGTATTACTTTTTGTGCTGCCAAGCCCCAATTCCTACAGGTCATGAGGAAGAGGGCCAGATGACACCTACACTTGTAGTACATTGCATTATAAGAGATGAATCCTGAATTTATAGAAACTAAATCTTTTATAATGGGTAGTAAGCATGCCCCACCTTTGCTACAGAGGAAGCCATTTTCTCTATCTTCCAAAGCTGTCCACTATACAGACATTTTTGGATAGACTGTTTGGGAAAAAAGGGCATTCAGTACCTCCACTCTCAAGATATTCAGAAACCCATAGAGAGCTATCTCTCAACAGAAATCTGTAATTTCTTTTTTTTTTTAAGATTTTATTTATTCATTTGAGACACAGAGATACAGAGAGAGAAAGCATGAGCAGGGAGAGAGGCAGAGGGAGAAGCAGGCTCCTCGCTGAGCCAGGAGCCCAATATGGGGCTTGATCCCATGACCCTGGGATCATGACCTGAGCCGAAGGCAGACGCTTAACCATCTGAGCCACCCAGGTGCCCCAGAAATCTATAATTTCTTAGTGGAAATTATCAGAAGCCACTAACCTCTAGTTCCTATTTCACATGAGGTAGGATTGTACTCAACTGCATTTAACAAAATTCTGATTACAGTGGTTTAACCAATGTTTGTTTTGAATTTTTTTTTTTTTTTTCCCTCTGCAGGTAACCAGAAGTCCGGAGGTGGACAGTCCAGGTCTGGTGCAAATATAAATGAGGTGTTCAAGGACCCAGGTCCCTATCTTCCTGTTCCACCATCTTCATCATTTGGCTTTTCACCTGATGGTCCCACAATGGAAACTCCCCCTCCACTGGTACAGTGCTGGTGCTCAGTTGAGAGAAGTAATTATCACATTTGAAGGAAAGTTAAAAAATTTGAGATAGAAAAGACGAAGAATTAAGATACATATGTAGGGTGGCTGGGAGACACTAGCAAGTAGATTTTCTCACACACAGAATGGTGTAGAATTTTACTAGAAAATTTGTTTAAGTGGATGGTCTGGATCAAAGTAATACTTTGTTTTAAGGGACAGGAACAAAGCATTAAACAAGCTAACAGGGGTGACTTGAAAGATTTAATGTAACTGAATAATTCAGTAAATAAGCTATGATTCAAAAATGTGTTTTTGGGGTGCCTGGGTGGCTCAGTCAGTTAAGTGTCTGACTCTTGACTTCGGCTCAGGTCAGAAGAATCTGCTTGAGATTTCCTCTCCCTCTGCCCCTACCCCCTGCCCCCCGCCCTGACAGGTGCACACACACTCTCTCTCAAATAAATAAACCTTAAAAAACCCCACAAAAACCCAAAAATGTGTTTTTAATAAAAATTGGAAGTTTTAAATTTTATTACACAAATGCACAGTTCAAATAGCACTGTAACCTTTCTTGTTTGGTGCTACTGTTCAGAGGAATGAGTAATGGCTTATAGTACTGGGTAAAAATAGGAATCATGCTTCTGAGGAAATCAGAATTCAGCTTGAGGCTCGTTTAGTTTGACAATACCCTAGTGTTAGTTACTATACTTCTCTACCTTCTGTATTACCTTATGGAATTGGGACATAGAATTTAACACCAAGAAATCTAAATTTCCTTAGAGTAGAAACAAGCTTATATGAACAATTCCTTTATAGTAACTAAAAATTAGACTTATCTGCTGCAGTTGGTATCACGGTTTCATTTTTAGAATAAGCTGAGGCAATCGGTTTCTAAATAGTTTCTAAATACTCAATCAGTTCTATATGGTCTAAATAATCCATTTGTTTAACAGATCCTTTCATTGAATAATCCCAAAGCCCTAAACATCTTCGAGATTATAAACTCATATAGACAGAGAAGAAACTAAAGAAAAAGAGTTTAAGAATAAAGACAATCCTCAGGCACCTGGGTGGCTCAGTTGGTTGGGTGACTGCCTTCGGCTCAGGTCATGATCCTGAAGTCCTGGGATCGAGTCCCGCATCGGGCTCCCTGCTCAGCGGGGAGTCTGCTTCTCCCTCTGACCCTCTTCCCTCTCGTGCTCTCTCTCTCTCATTCTCTCTCTAATAAATAAAATCTTTAAAAAAATAGACAACCCTCAATTATGCATTCTATGAATTAACCATGTTCTCAACTTTCCTTCTGTATATTGTCTAAAACTTTTTTTCTAATGGTAAAAGGTTTTGTAGAGATGAGTTTGAATATGGCAAATGAAATTAGAGCTTGTCAATAGGTTTTAATAACTGATTGTATGTTAGCTCTGATCATCTAAAGTTCATTATAGATGTTTAGGCACATAATTCTCTTGGCCTGCTCCTATCACCAATAAGATATCCTTCTCTAATGCCAGTTTCTAAGGGTAAAATAATTGGTTCTATTAGTTTAAAATTATTAAATAATAACTAATAAGTTCAACAATAACCAAAATACATGCCCAGGCTCTTCCCACGTGTTCAAAGTTAGCTATTATGGATGCAAACAATAATTATTATTACTAGTATTGTAATAATAATCATAGTAAATCCTTAAGTTTACATAGTTCTTCATTGCTTATAAACGATTCCATATTTTATTTGAGCCACTCAATATTCATACGAGGAATTATTCTTCAAATTAATACTGCCTCATTTTACAGATAAAGCAATTCAGACCAAGAAAAGTTTAAGTGACTTGCCCCGTGTCATAGGCATAGAGATACAATTATATCCAAGACATAGTCCCTCCTCTTGTTAAACTCTATTGTAATGAGAAGTTCAGAGGACTTGTGAGCAACCTTAACATGGTGTTGAGCTAGAGCGCTACTAGTCCCAAGGACAGACCACGGGAAGGACAAGGAAACAGACCTGGGGGCAGTGAGGCAGGCAGAGACAGGGAAATTTTCCTGAAGTAAATAAAGTCTCATTTCAGACTTCACTATGTTGGTTCTGAGAAGAGTATTAGTTTCTTCTCAGAATCTACCAAGTTGATTTGGGACTTGATAGAGTAAAACTGTGAAAGTCAATACCTCGTTATTAACTTTAAGCCAATGTTTCTCACACTGCTGCTCCTGTACCAACTGCCTGTTACATGGGGTTCTTGTTAAAAAATAAAGACTTGGGGGGAGAGGGGGAAGGGATTACTTTGGACTTTCTTAAACTTCTTGGGGTGAGATCCAGGAAAACTGCTGCTGTAAGTATAGACAACTTGGGGATTTTGAAGTCAAAGAGCAAAATAAAGAAGATATTTTTGGTAGTGGCTCCAACTGGCTCCTGCTTCATTAAGACCTTTTTTTCTTTCTTTCTTTTTTTTTTTTTTTTTTTTTGATTGAGTATGGAAGAGTGTGTATTTGGCTATTTGGGGAAAAGAGTACTACATTGCAAACTGTCAGTCCCTCCACCCTTTACGTGCAGTGTGGTTGGCTTAGAGTAGGTGCCTGATAAATGTTTGTTGACTTGCTGATCAGACATAGGTATATATAACTTCCATGAGTTCTGAAAGTGCTTTCGGCTTCTATCTTGCAGTGTCCAGCCAGCAGCAGCAGTAAAATGGAGTAAGGGTGTGTGGATTTGGAGGAAAGACTGAATGAATTCAAACCCCAGATCCTCAACAGTTGAAAGGACCAAGTTCCTTAATCTGCCCCCATTTATAAGGAAGGAAAAGAAATACATCCCACAGTTTTGGAGAGTTTTAAATGACTTAACAGGATCTATTATATATAGGTATCAATGAAAATACTATAAATGCAAATGCTTAGAACTGTGCTTTACGTCCCAACGCAAATGTGTTCTACAAATACTCATTCAAACCCAGGCAGTGGACTCTACAATTTATCGTCCGTAATAGCTCCCCTTAACAGGTCAGAACCTCGGGGCAATTATCAGCAAAAAAAATGAAAGAACAAATGAACAAACTAGGAACCTGAAGCGACCCGGCCCAGGGACCCCGGGCTGCAGCGTGGCGTGTTCAAGGAGGCCGGAAGGGGTGCAAGAGTGGTCTCTCCCCGCCCGGTTCGCGGCACGTGGTCCGCTCGGGCGGGAGCTTCGCGACAGTGGGGGAGGGGAGCGGCGTGGGACGACGCGGAGGGGGTCTAGGCGGCCAAGGCTACGGTTGGGAAGACGCGACTGCGCAGACTCCGGATAGGCGCAACCACTGCGCGAAGATCCGAAGGGGGGAGCGCTCACCCGGCTCCGCATTCCTTTTATCTACTTGCGGAGCGACAGCGTGACTTTTTTTTTCGTTTCACGACTGCATTTGGCGTCGCCCTCTGCAAGTTGGTTATCAGCAGAAGGCCTCTTATCTCAAGACTGAAGAGACCTCTTTTTCTAGTCGGACCCCTTTCTCCCCCGTGAAGGCCACAGTGGACACGTCCCACCTCCCCTCGGCCTCCGGAGGTGGTTTGGTTGCCCCCTCCCCCTCCCCAGTGTCGCGAGTTGGCGCCGCTGCCACCCCCCGCTCCGCGCTCTCGGCCCCTCGGCCGGGCGGTACCGAGTCCTCCCGGCGTCCCTTCCTCTCCTCCCTCCGGCCAGCCGTTCCTTGCGGGACTGCACCCCCACCTTCGCCCCAGCCCTTTTCTCTCCCCGCCGAGCCGCGGCGGCACCAGCAGCAGCTTCAGCAGGAGGAGGAGCCGGAGCCCGGAGGCGGCGGTGGCCGGGGAGCCCATGGCGTACAGTCAAGGAGGCGGCAAGAAGAAAGTCTGCTACTATTACGATGGTGAGAGGCCCGGCTGGCAGGAGGGTGGGTGGGTGGGCAGGGCTGGGGAACCAGGCCCTGAGCCGCGCCGGGTCCCACAGCCGCCGACGCGAGCGGGCGCGGGTGCTGAGGGGTGGGAAGGAGGAGGGACCGACGTCTGGGCGCATCTTAACCCATTCCCGACCCGACGCCGTCAGGGGGAGCCCCTCCGCTGCGAGCGGCCCCCGAGGGGGGGGCCAGGTGGACGCCCCCTTTTCTCCTGCCGCTCTTCCTCCGGCAGTAGGGTCCGCCGTCCCGAAGGCAGCCGCCTGTGGGACGATGCCGGCCTACCCCATCCAAGTGGAGGCGGCTAAGGGGATGGCTTGCCCTCTCTCTTCTCCTGCTCGCCACTTGCGGGGGCGGAGGTGTGGGGGTCCTCTGCTCCGGCACTGACCCCTCCCCCCGGGTCGAAATCTACCCCGGCCCGGACTTCACACAAAGCCCGGCGCCCGCTAGAGCCCCGCCCCCAGGCCCCGTCTCTCCCCCGCCCTTCCTCCGTCACCGCTCGCTCCCGCCCCGCCTCTCCCTTCCTCTCTTGTCTCGGGCTGGTCCGCTGCGTCTGCTCCTTTCTCCATCTCCAAGCTTTAGCCTGGACCCCTCGACCGGGTCGGGGCTGGCAAGGAGTTACTAAGGGTGGGGACTCACGTCCTCCTTGGGACACACTGACTCTGCCGTTTCGCCTGGGCTCCATCCCTCTCCTTTGTTCGCCGGGTTGTTTGAGCGCCACTTTCTCAGGATTTAAATGAAAAGGCTTCACTTCCTCGATAAAAATTGGGGTTTTCGAGTTTGAGGTAGTCAGTCTTAGCGGGAAATGTGACGGTGTTAGGGAAACGTGGAGGTGTTACTGCTTCTGTTGTAGATCAGACTAGATGGGTTCTGGCTTGTCTCCGTGAGAGGCGGTTACCACCCACTTCTTTGTTGCTCTTTGTTCGATCAGGAAATACACCCTGCTTGGGAGGTTTAGGAGAGCATTGGCATCTTGCTTGCGAAAGCTGTTTCTAGGTGTTGGGAGTTTTGGTGTAGGAAAACTTGGAGGAGTAATGCAGAAGTACTAAATAATCAGGTAAGCTTGAGCTTGCGGTGCAGTAAATTATGAAAGTCAGATAATTCTAGGGGTTCTCTGATTTGAAATTTGAGCAGTAACATTAAATCTCTTGAATCCTGTTTCCTGTGGAGATGGAGTAGTAACCTGTTTTGCAGATTTCACAAAGACGTTCATTTGGTAAATATTTCTACTGGGTTACTCTCCAGAAAAGGATTTCGAAAATTTTACAAAGAAGCTAGACTCAATGACCTGCAAGTAAGTCCTTGATCGGTCTGAAGCAATACAAATCTTGGAAGTTGTTTCCTGTATATGTTGTATTATGTGTATATTACAAAATCTTAAAGAGGTGGAAAGACCTAAGAGGTCTAGAATCAGAATAAATCTGATTTTAATTTGAAAATGACCATACCATATTACTTCAGTTAGCAAAAATGAATCTTTTAATGCTTGAGGATATAAAATGACCACCTGTGTCATTTGTGGAAAAACTTAAAATCATAAATAAGAAATCTAAGTTGTTTGATATTTGATGGCTAGTACTAAATAGTTAACAGCTGTATTTTAAAAACATTTTTTGAGAGCACTACATATATGTGTAATACAAATCGAAATTATGGCATCCTGGAGGAGTAAAGGTAGGAGTACATTTATGGATTGTATTTGTTAAAATCATTCTTTAAGTTTTCATGCATATTTTGAGACAGTGGTAAAACCCAAGCCCTGCATTCCCTGATCAAATTGGAAAATAAATAACCGTGTTTGTGAGTTAATTTTTAAAATGATATTGTTCCTAGGGTTTAGAGATTTGTTCTTGTCAGGAGTTGGGGTAAAAGGTTTAAAAAGTTGGGGAAACTGGTGCTAAGACTCTTCCTGCAGCTCTTAGTTGCTATTGACAGTGATAGGCTCTGAAGAAGTAAGCAGCTTGTAACTTCGTGTCACCGGACTTGAATTGTAGAACTGGGAGATACCCTTAAGTAGCAGTTTTATGAACAGCTGTTTCTGGGCCCTTTTATAAGGAGCCTTTGCTGAGGAGTGGGATGTCCAGGGCAGGACGCGGACTTGGTAGGTGGAGTGGGAAAAGTCAAGTCCAGGGCAGGACGCGGACTTGGTAGGTGGAGTGGGAATAGTCAAGTCCCATGATTGTTGCTTAATACTTTACTATAGACCATTCAACTGCTTTACTTAAGGCCAACACAGTGTATAACTGATCATTTGGAAATCTCTCATTAGGTTATATGCCTTTTGTCTAAGGCTCATGCCTCATTTTCAGAATGGAATTTTTATTTGCTTTCATTTGGAAATATTCTTTGGGTTTGGGGGGGCTAATAAAACTGTTTTGTAGAAATTATTAAACGGGTTGGGTATCATTGTGCTAATTATTAGTATACTAAACTTTCAACAATTCCAAAAGCTTACTTTTTCATTATTTAAAAAAACCCTATTTTGTCAGCTTAAAAGGGTAGCGGTATTTTTTTCTTTTGGGGGGAGAAAAGAAGATGCAAGTAAAGCAGCTGCTGCACCAAAGAATTGGGAGATTTGAAGGTATACAGTATGGATTGGATTGGAATTAAAAATCTGCTAGCCTAAGTTACCTCGTTTTAACTTGATAAAGTAGAAGAAAGAAAGATGAATACAGGGATGAAGTAGTGGATTCTATAATCATAGGAAACCTACCTTTAGGCTTAGTGGGACCATTAGGCACACTCTTGACAACAGAGAGTATCTAGCAAATGAAAGGAATTTCTAAAGACATGTATTTTTTTCTGTATGCTTTACAGTGTTCAGTATTAAACCCTTTAGATGACTGGAATGCTGGTTTCAGCTAAACCCTCAGGCACTGATGGATGAGGGAGGTATCCTTAAATCTTTGAGGAAAGTAAGAGAAGTTCACTTTTCTTACTATAGATATTGACCCATAGTCCAAAGTTTTCAAAAACTTAATTCTAAATCTTTGTCATCTTGTATGTATTGCACGATTATCGATACTCTGTAAAATGATAGACCTAGTGGCTGAGATCCCTTCTGACTTTGAAATGATGTGGTTTCTGTACTTAAATGTAATTAGCAAACCAACTGTTAGTCTGGTATTACAATACTCAAAATTGTAATACTTTACCTAGGGGGCGCCTGGGTGGAGCAGTCATTTAAGTGTTAAGACTCTTGATTTCAGCCCAGGTCATGATCTCAGGGTCTTGAGATGGAGCCCTACATTGGGCTTCATGCTTAGCACAGAGTCTGCTGGAGATGCTCTCTCCCTCTGCCCTTTACCTTGCTTCTGTGCGCGCGTGCTCTCTCTCTCATGTAAATAAATAAATAAAATCTTTATTAAAAAAAAATAATTTGGGGCGCCTGGGTGGCTCAGTTGGTTGGGCGACTGCCTTCGGCTCAGGTCATGATCCTGGAGTCCCTGGATGAGTCCCCCATCTGGCTCCCTGCTCAGCACCGAGTCTGCTTCTCCCTCTGACCCTCCCCCCTCTCATGTGCTCTCTCTCTCTCTCTTTCTCTCATTCTGTTTCAAATAAATAAATAAAATCTTTAATAAAAAAAGAAAGAATTTATAATACTTTAGAAATATTAAGTGTACTTTGTTTTGAATTAGGCTTTAGGCCAATCACATTTGGTGCCTGTTTTACAATGTATACAATATAATAGGGTTGTATATAAACATAATTTACATAATTGTATAGATACTGCTCTATGCTCTGTTTTTTCCTCTTTTGATAGAGTGCATCAAAATGTTTGGAGACAAGTGGTTCAGCTAAAAGCACTTAACACTATACAAAGATAGAATATAAAAGTTACAAAGATCATGCCTCCCAGTATACTCGTAGTTTACTCTAGGAGATTATAAGAATTTATTTGGCAGCCAACTAATTGACAGATATTCTTAGACCTTTATTTGCAACAGTGGTGCCAAAGTCTTTTTGGTAGATAGCCTGTAATAAATTGCATGGGTTCTTAGCTGTAATATAAATATTATCCATAAAATAGGTAATCATTTCTTCCAAAATAGGTAATCAGCAAATCAGAGTGCTGAATGAATTATAGCAGCAGTTCATAAATATCAGTAGTCTTTTTTTTTTCAAGATTTTATTTATTTATTTGAGAGAGAGAGCCAGCGAGTGGGGCGGAAGGAGCAGAGGGAGAGGGACAAGCAGACTCCGCAGTGAGCACAGAGCCTGATGCAGGGCTCGATCACACGACCCTGAGATCATGACCTGAGCCGAAATCAAGAGTTGACCCTTAACTGACTGAGTCACCGAGGTGCCACCGTGAATACCAGTAGTCTTAATTGCACATCATTGTTTAAACATAGTAGGGTGTAATGCTCCAATAAGACAGCTTTTCTTATACTCTTCCCCAGCTATTCTTTATTATTCATTTCCTTCAGATTTCACCTCATCAGCCTTTTTTCCTATTGCCTTAATCCTCCTTACTGCTTTTCTCCTTATCACTTGTACTGTTATCCTATTTCTAGCACCTAAATTTTCTCCTCCTCACTAGAATATAAGCTTCATGAGGACAGAATCTGTTTTGCTTATGTCTAATCTCTACCATCTAAATAAAAATTAAAGGTTTTTTTAATTTTTGGTGAATAAATGATTAGTGCCTTATTTTTATGGATAGAGCACTTTCATATAACATTCTCTGCTGCTTACAACCACTCTGAGTTACAGACAGGCAGGATCAGTGGCATTTTGTCTGTTTTACAGATGAAAATAGATTAGTATCCCTGTTTGATACACTCCTTATCCTTTATCACACTGACTTGTTTTAAGGTCCAAGAAGAGGTCAGTACCTCGCACCTAACACGATTTTTCTTCTTTCTTTTGGTGACACAAGAGTGGAACTCTTTCCACAGATACCAAAAGAAAACGTATTAAGTAATTTTTTCTTTTTCCTAACAAAAGCATGTAAATTACTCAGTTGACAAATACTTAAGGAAATGGTTGGAACTGGTAATCTCTTAGGGAATGATGATAGCATTGAAACAGATCAGATTTAGAAGTTAAAGTATAAAAGGGCGCCTGGGTGGCTCAGCTGGTTGCCTTGCGGCTCAGGTCATGGGTCCTGGGATCGAGCCCCACATTGGGCTCCCTGCTCAGTGGAGAGTCTGCTTCTCCCTCTCCCCTACCCCCTGCTCATGCTTTCTTGCTCTATCTCTCAAATAAATGAAATCTTTAAAAAAAAAAAAAAAAAAAGTTAAAGTATAAGGATGTTTGCACTGGTTAATAAGTCTCATTCCTCTCTAATAACGGTTGGTTTATACTTGTTCATGAAATCAACTTTGGGTGTAGAAATATCAAATGGGCTTAAAGTCCCTACTGTGTGCCAGGTAGACAAAAGATTAAGTCCGAAGAACGAAATAAACCGTATGCTAGATCGTAAGAGTGGGGACGTTTGTAGCGTACTCAAGACAAGGAAGGCCTGAAGGAAGAGAATGGGCCAGCCTTAAAAGAGTTTTCCTGTAGTGGCGCCTGGGTGGCTCAGTTGGTTAAGCGGCTGTTCGGCTCAGGTCATGATCCCGGGGTGCTGGGATCGAGCCCCGCGTCGGGCTTCCTGCTCAATGAGAACCTGCTTCTCCCTCTCCCTCTGCCTGCCTCTCTGCCTACTTCTGCTCTCTGTCTGTCAAATAAATAAATAAAATCTTAAAGAAAAAAAAGTTTTCCTGTAAGATACTGCAAACTGCAAAGGCCACGTAGTTAGGATTTGGCACACTAAACAAAAAGGAAGACATGGGGGAATAATGTGATGCCAGGCTAGGTAGTAAAGGGCCAGACCACAAAAACTTTGTAGTAAGAGATTTGAACTTGGTTCAGGGAGTAGAAAAGCACTGAAGGATTTTTAAATAGAACTCAGGTGAAGAAAGGATGGTGAAGAGTGATGAATGAATACTGAAAGCAAGAATTGAATGCATGTTGGTCCACATAAAATATAGTGGTTTTGGCTGACAGAAATGGACACATTTAAGAGAGGTTTTGGGAGTACAACAAGTAGAACTTGTTGATGGATTAGAAATGGGGCTGGAACTGGTTGATGGTGGTACAGAATGAAGGATGGACGACTCCTAATTTTCTAGATTGAACAGTTAGGTGATTTATTGCTGAGAGGATTTTTAGGACATCACTCTTGTTCACTGACTTATCCAAGCACCTAGAATAGTGCATAGCACATGGTAGGCTCTTAATTTGTTAAATGAATGAATGAACATGAGAAACTCCTGATATTTAAAGGTTGGTGCAGAGTGGCTATGGGGTAGGAATACAGTCCAGGACAGTGGTATTATGGAAGCCAGTGTCCAGAGTGTTTAAGCTAGTAGTGGACTAAGTCAGTAGTGTGTGGAAGGTGAAAATAATACTATGGCTTTTTCTTGCTTCCTTTGGTTTTTTTGTTTTTCTGGATAATTTTTATAGCGTGCTTATCTTTAGGGGTAAAGGTACATTTTATAATCTTAAAATTCAAAGTTATGTGAAAATGGGAAGAAAAATCTGTAACTCATTTGGAATGAAAAGCTTAATCTGAATTAATATTTATAATCTTTATTATGCTTACTGTGAATATTCACACATTTTTGCTGCAAAAAATATTAATGTTTGATTATAGAATGCTGTACAGACCCCAGGGTATCACATAATATAGAGCAGATGTAACATACTACATTTATAAAACCTGAAAAACAAAAATCTGAAATACATCCAGTCCCCAAGTACTTTGGATAAGAGAGTGTAGACCTTAGTAGCCATTTCATTCTGATAGCTTCTTTTGAAGAGTGAGCAATTTCTAAAATTTTGCAGATAACTAATTCTTTATGGTAATTTCTTCACATTGACAAAGTTTGTTGTATTCAAGGAACCACCTTGCACTAATTTTTCTGGATGTTTGCTTCATTTGTAATGCATTTTTGTGTATTTTGATAAAACTCAAGATAACATTTAAAATGCCCAAGTTATGTTACTAACCATTTAAATCATGAATGGAATTTGTAGGTTCTTAAACTAAGAAAAGACATTTTATGTTTAATAAAAAGTGGATGGCTACAAAGCAACCTTGTAGAGAATTTTGAGATATGGGATTAAGCCCGAAAGTGTTGGGCAGTGTTTCTTTTATAACCTCCTTACATTTTGGAGGAATTCTTAGTAAACGAAATGGCACTTATCTTTGGCTTAGCTCCCCTTGTGTCATTTAGGAAGTGAACATATTTTTGATGGGACCCCTAAATTGTAGCAGAGAAACTTGTTGAAAGCTATATGTATTCATACAAAATTTGAGGACCCAATTGGTTTAAAAAAGAAGTGTTACTTTGATGAATTGGATAGGTAGTTTCTTACATTCATTTTCTCTAAATTAACAAAGATCCTAAGCCCTTATTAAAATATTTGTATTACATATATCCTTTTCTTTCCAGGCTTTCCCCTACTGTTTTTTTCTAGTGACTGAAAATGCCATTGCTTTCTGGGTAGCTACTGCTTAAGATTATCTGCATTGCTCTGCGTATTTGAATCTAGCTCCTCTGGCTTGCTAGTTGGGTTACTTTGGCAGTGTCACCTGATTCAGCTGCATCTCACCTTTCTTGACTATAGGAACAGTAGTAATAGTACCTACATCATAGGGTTAATTGAGAAGATTAACAGATAATACATGTGAAGTGCTTAGAATAGTACCTCCTAGTGAACACTCAATAAATGTTAATTACTATACATTATATGTTTAAAAAAAAAGGAGATAGTAGGAAGGGAGAAATGAAGGGGGGGAATCGGAGGGGGAGACGAACCATGAGAGACTATGGACTCTGAGAAACAAACTGAGGGTTCTTGAGGGGAGGGGGGTGGGGAGATGGGTTAGCCTGGTGATGGGTATTAAAGAGGGCACATTCTGAATGGAACGCTGGGTGTTATACGCAAACAATGAATCATGGAACACTACATCAAAAACTAATGATGTATGGTGATTAACAGAACATAATAAAAAAGAAAAAGACCTATCTGAGTGATACATGGGAATTGCTGATAAGTATTTGTACGTCCAGCAAAATATATGTAAATTTATTGCAAATGCATGTTAAACAGTTTCTTTCCTCAGGAAAAAAAATGTTAATTACTGCTATCGTCATTTCTTTTTTAAAAACAGGCTTGCTGAGAAATTGTAACTGTAGTCTCCCTTCTGTAGATTGACATCTTTCCTGTTGTATTATTTGTGACTTCCCACTGGATTCTCAGTAGGTCTATAACTAGAATATTTGATCTTAAAATGTGATAGATGTTAGAGACATTTCATGTTAGTAAATCTTACACAGAGGCATTTGGAAGTTCTGTAAGGACTAGTTTCTTTATTCCAACTCTCGTGATTTCTTCTGGTAGTGGTAATAACTTAGAAATACCTCCCTTGCATTAACTTGGGTACAAGATGCCTTGTAATTCTAGTGGGCCTTCCATACCTTAAAGAATTTGAGACCAGGCTGCTTTCAAGGAACTCTGTAGTGCCAGCCATGTAGAGATGAGCTTTACAGCCGATCCTTATAAAGGTAGTTTATTTCATGCATTGCCTCTGAATTGTGATAAATGCAGAGGAATTGCACACCCCCATAGCTCTGCTTAGCTACTTGTCTGTATTGTCTTAGCCTTGTTGTTTTAAGAAAGGTGGTTTTCCCTTAAAATGACTGTGTATATATTAATTGTTTTCAGAAGAGATTTTGTGTTAGAAATGAAGAATTAAGTAAATTAGTGGTATACCAACAAAATCAAGCAGTAGTGGTATTTAGAAATAGGGAGGTTATAAAATAGGCCTGTTATGAAGTAGGAATGTTCATCCTAGACATTTATCAAATATATGAAAGAGAGAGAAACACAAGTTTTTGAGTTCTCAGTTTCTCTTAAAAAAAAATGTGTATTTAGGCAGGATTTTGAAAGATTTTTTTGATCCTGAAGGTGGGGAGATGGAATTCTTAATCCCTCACTTTTATATAAACCTGTGTTGAAATGATTAACTTCAAGCCGTTAAAATTAGCTTGACTGTCCTAGTAAAATTTTGGAATTACTTATTTAAAGACTAGAATTGATACTAAAAGTAATTCCTAATTTAATACAGGCTGTTGCAAAAAGTGTTTGTTACATTTAAAAAAATAGTATATTTCTAGGGGTTTTCTTAATTTTACTTTATTATAAAAATACTGGGTCTTTACCTAAAAGTGTTGATTTCACAGTAGATGAAAATTTGGTTTAAGACTCTGGTAATACAAGATGTCATAGAAAGTTAGGCTGGCAGTTACAACTTCTAATCATGAAGAATGAGACAAAATATCCTTACTATCTTAAAACATGTCATGAGTATGTCTTACCAGAGCAAAACTCTATTTAGGATCTAAGTTTCATTTACCAAAAATTTTCTCTTATAGACTGTGATGGATGTGTAGAACGTTTTAACCCCCATAATTCCAACTATAAAGAATTTCTGGGATGCCAGTAAATATTCAAGAAGCAATATTTGCTGTAAAATTTTTAAATAATAACAGTGAAACTCAGAATTTAGGCATCTGAATTTGCCTGTAAATATGGAAAATAATTATCAATATAAGTAAGTAAAACTTTTGTGAGTATGGAGTATTTTATTAGGGCTAATCCAAAACTTTGGTAAATGGAGTTATCACATGTAAACGTGTACACAGTATCTTGGTTTTCTAATACAGTTTGAAAGTTGAAAAATCTAAAATCATTTAAGGTTTTAAATCTTGTTTAGGTGGTAAGTGCCTTCTAATGATGAACATACATAAACTTAGATTGTGAAGACTTTCTTGTCTATATTCAGTTTGTCTTTTTTCTATTTTAGGTGATATTGGAAATTATTATTATGGACAGGGTCATCCCATGAAACCTCATAGAATCCGCATGACCCATAACTTGCTGCTAAATTATGGCTTATATAGAAAAATGGAAATATATGTGAGTATACCTTTTGATAAATAGCAGTGATTTTTTTTTTTTCCTTAATCTGCTTTGAAATGATTATTCCCTTTGAAGTGCATTTAGCAGATGAAAAGGCCTGGAAGAAAACAGAAAATCCTCTTTTTGTTTGATTGTTCAGAGAAAACTGAGAGTGTGGGAGCTATGACCTCTCTTGTCCCTCTTCCTCAACCATTTCTTAAGTTTCTCGTACCCTACCTTTTTACATTCCGGAGAACAACTCAGTGTAGCGTACTAAATATCATTGTTACAGTAGTGGTTGACCTGGGACTATTACAAAAGAACTATATACAAAATTCTACAAATACTAATTGGCGTATGGAACAATGTGTTAGTGGACATGCACAGTACAGCTAACATTTAGGATACAACCGCCTTAAATGTTTTTGCACTGATGGAAGTATATATAAACAAATGCAAGACACAACAATTCTTGCCTGTTTGAGGAGAACAGAGACTTGAAGCAGTAAGCAATATTGGGTGTCTATGAGTTACTTTCTTTCAAATATAAACAGTTACAGAAGAGGAGTTGGATAGGTCTTCCTGGAAGCCTTTTGGGAGAAGTGTGTGAATGAAATTGAGCTCTTGGGAACAAGGCAAAGGATAGGCAAAGGAAAGGAAGAGAGATCATGAACAAAGACTTATAACTGAAAATGAGTCTCATTCTCACTGGTTATAGAACAGGTTTATGATGGAAAATGAGAGAAAGTAGAGTTTCTGAACACAGATTCAACTTTATAAGCATTGACCCATTTCCACTAAAATAAAAGGAGTAATTAACATGTAGTTGGGAATTAATATATAGTTGGGGTCATACCTGTCTAATGCTTTTAAAGGAGTAGGAATTAGCTTTGGAATTGATTACTGTTTTCTAAAACACACATGTATAAATTTGGATTAGCTTTGGAATTTCTTTTGTTCTGGCAGACCTAGTTCTTTTGAGAGGACTATTAGGGGAAATTGTATACTTTGTGTTTGATGACTCTGATATAACCAGTTGTAGTTCCACAATTCTGACATTTGTTTTTCTTCACAGAGGCCCCATAAAGCCACTGCTGAAGAAATGACAAAATACCACAGTGATGAGTACATCAAATTTCTACGTTCAATAAGACCAGATAACATGTCTGAGTATAGTAAGCAGATGCAGAGATGTACGTTTCTGTGTTAAAAGTATATATTACTATTGATAAGTATAAACGAGTATTCTTAGAAGCTTATCATTAGAGTTACCCAAATCTAGGTATACTGCCTGATCTAAAATACTTTTTTAAAGTAATTATTGGTTTGAAAAGTCAATGTAAAAATATTAGCAAAGCTACTTTATTTAAAAAAAATTTTAAAGATTTTATTTATTTGACGGAGAAGAGAGAGAGCACAAGCAGGGGAAGCAGCAGGCAGAGGGAGAAGGAGAAGCAGACTCCCTGCTGAGCAGGAAGCCTGATGCAGGGCTTGTTCTCAGGGTCCTGGGATCGTGACCTGAGCTGAAGGCAGACACTTAACCAACTGAGCCACCCAGGCGACCCAGAAAGCTATTTTAAATTAAAATAAATAAATAAATAAAAACAGGGGCTCCTGGGTGGCTCAGTTGGTAAAGCGTCTGACGCCTGATTTCAGCTTAGGTCCTGATCTCAGGATCTTGAGATCAAGCCCTGAGGTAGGCTCCGCACTCAGCACAGAGTCAACTTGAGATTTTCTCTCTCCCTCTCCCCCCGCCCCAACTCTCTCTCTCAAATAAAGAAATAAAATCTTTAAAAAACAAAATCTAGGGGCGCCTGGGTGGCTCAGTTGTTAAGCGTCTGCCTTTGGCTCGCGTCATGATCCCGGGGTCCTGGGATCTCACTCTGCATCGGGCTCCCTGCTCAGTGGGAAGCCTGCTTCTCTCTCTCCCACTCCCCCTGCTTGTGTTCCCTCTCTTGCTGTGTCTCTGTCAAATAAAATCTTTAAAAAAAAAAAAAATCTACCTGAAGCCTATTGGTCTGCCAGACTGCCAAAGAGCTGTTGGATGTTCCTCTACTCTTTGTTTTGGTCCCTTGTTAACTTTGGGATATTGGATATTGGTGGGGAGACCTTACTCCCCTGCTTTTTTTTTTTTTTTTTAAAGTGATTATACTTTGGTTGGCCTTAGCCTGGTATCTATATTTCTTATCTTCTATTTGTGTGCTTTAGTTAATATGGATTGTAATATATAATCTGTTTCTTCCCTTTGTTACTGAAGCTTTTGATTTTCTTCTATATAGTTTTCTCTTTTATATAGATAAAAAGTATTTTATTGTTAGCAGTTGGTTGGCTTGAAAAAGGAATGCAAAATGTCCTCATAAAATGATTGGAACAGTTTTTTTTTAAAGCTTGGTACTGAAGTTCATTCTCATCAGTGTTACTGTTCTGTAGACTTCTGTAGTCTTCAGTGATGATTTTTTAAAAAAGAACAATTTCAGTAATACTAAATTAGTGTAGTTGCTAGACATAACATTTATAGAATTTTGTATACATTTCTACTATAGATTATTTCATTTACTCAATAAAATGCTATAATGTAAATAGAATGTATTACCCTGTTTTTTTGATGGAGATTCAGGCTTAGATTAAAAGTTATGGGTAGATAGGGCAAATGAATTAACAGGATTGATTTAATACGTTATACTGAATTATATTAAGATTATGATTATATCTGAGTGGTAAGAAACTAAAAGCCATTCAGTGTAGTGCTAATAAATTATGGGTATACAAAGCTATGGTAATAATTTGGGGGGTGGGAAGAGGCTGAGAATGAGTCATGTACATAATATGTCCCTTTTATCCTGTTAGTACTAAGGAACTAAATATATTGCAATGTGTCTGTATCTGTATGTGTCGTTTCCTTGTGCTTTATATACCCCTTCCTTGTATGTCTTGGCTGTTAATGAACCTAGTTAATTCCTACCATCCTTTAAGATTGGGTAGGCAACTAGCTGCTTTATCTTTTTAGTACTCACTAAAATACATTTCAAAGTTAATGGATGTTCTGTGCATTTAAGAAGTTTTAGAGAAAGTAAATCATAAAGGAATTAAAGTTGCTTAAATTTTTTAGAATCCTGATTAATTTATAGTATGTGAAAGGAGAAATGCCTGAAATTTAAGTGCATGTTTTAATTAAATAAATGAAATGCCTTTTATATTTTGATGGCGATTTTTTTAGTAATAGAGCAGAGATTATTCTATAAATAATCCTGGTAAGATTTGGTGGTGGTGTTTCATATATAACATTTTTAATTACCTTGGATAAAATGATAAATTGTATTTTTAAATAGCAAAGTGTAGATTTCTTCTATAATGTGTGTTCTATGATTGCATCAAATAAAAAAGTATTTGTAAGAAATAGTTTTTGAAAGAAAACCTTTCATTAATTCATAGAATGGATTCTAACTGAAATCCATCTTTCACAGTTAATGTTGGAGAGGATTGTCCAGTGTTTGATGGACTCTTTGAGTTTTGTCAGCTTTCAACTGGTGGCTCAGTTGGTAAGTGTCTTGATTCAGATCTAAAAATTGATTTAAACCTGGTATGTAACTTTTGGGTTATTTGTTTAAAGCAAATGTTTTTAGTGGTATTGGATTTTGATAACAAAAAGTAGTCTGTATGTTTATAGTAGTACAATTGTCTTTAAAAATCCACATGTTTGGGGCACCTGACGGGCTCAGTTGGTAGAGCATGTGACTTGATCTAGGAGTCATGAGGTTAGGTCCCACATTGGGCATAGAGCTTACTTTTAAAAAAATAATAAAAGTAGTTACCTTCTTTCTTTAAAAAATAAATAAACCCCATGCTTTATGAGCATAATGACTTGAACTTTTTGTTTCTTACTTCAGTTGTATTTTCACTTAGGAATTTCTCCCCTCTCTCTTCTAGCTACCACTTTCCATAAATACTCTTAATTAATCAGATCACATCTATAGGATAATATTTATCTAAGGAAAAACTGTTGTCAGTGTCCCAGACAATGATCCTTACCTTTTTGTAATTTTAAACTCCTTTACTTACACATGGCATACTCTTTCCTATAGGGCTTTTGTGTAGTTGTATTAATTTTTTTATTTTAAACACTTTCGAAGACTACCCTGTCTTGTCTTTTAGCTGGGGCTGTGAAGTTAAACCGACAACAAACTGATATGGCTGTTAACTGGGCTGGAGGATTACATCATGCCAAGAAATCAGAAGCATCAGGATTCTGTTACGTTAATGATATTGTACTTGCCATCCTTGAATTACTAAAGTAAGTTAATTTATGTTGATATTTTTCTTATGAAAAAGTTTTAATTAAAACAATATAAATCTATAACCTTTAAAAAAATATCAAAGAAACAGTAGCTTAAAAATAGTTCAGTGGTGAGTCTTCTATGGATTTATCACAAACGGTTGTAGAAATACAGGACATTTTCCCATTCCTTGGATTAATAAGAATGAGAAGTGCATATACATGTTTAAAACTCCCATTAAATACCCTTTTTAAAAAGACTAGAAGTAGTTTGGAGATTTAGATTTGAGTTATAGTTTCAACTAATGAAAGATGACAGGACCCTGGAAGTTTATGTTCTAACATTTTGTAAGTTTTAACTTTTGAAGGCAAAATTTGAAACCTTGCGTTAAAGGAAATTTGTCCCTTGAATGAGTCTAGCCAATTGCCTAGTTTCCACATGGAATGGCCTTTGTTCTCTACTAACGGGTATAATTATATCTAACTTACTAAAGGAGTTAGTTTTAAGGTTATCCTTGACTGCAGTTTGAGAGAGATCTATAGAGGGACTTAGGAATTTGGAAATTTACCAGGTTTTTTTGTTTTGTTTTGTTTTTAACCATTTTCAGTTGTAACATGTCTTAGCAGATTCCACTTCAGAGTACAGTGACTTCGTTTTTTCTTGGTATCAGAAATGTTCTTGCCTGTAGTTATTCTGTGCATACTGTTTATAGAGGCTTATTTTTCCATCATTTAAAATTTGGTTTTGACTCCTCAGATAAACAACTAAACTGTTTCAGTTAACTCATTGAGAGCCAAGGAAAACCACTTGAAATTATTTGCCTTGGTTTTTAATTCACTGTTGATTTTGGTTCTTGTGTTTTCGTCTCTGAGAAGTGGTTCTTGCCCACATGCTTAGCCTTAAACACGTTTTAACTTAATTTGTCTAGACATATATCTTTAACTGGCATGATCAATCATGATTTAATTAATTGACTATTGATAAGCCACTTAAGAACCACTCAGAAACTTATTTGGCTAACAGCTTTTTTATTATTTTTGTGAAGAAAGTCTACTATGATGAGACCTTCTGCTTTTTTTTTTTTTTTCCCCTAACTTTGCTGAATGGTGCTTTCCTGTGAGTTGAGAATATTCTAATGAGTTTTTAGTTTGATAATGTCAGTTTATATTATTTTCTTTTAACATAGTGGTGGTATCTTTACATAATAAACACAGAAAACTCTGCCATTTAATTTAATAACAATAATCCTCAGTTCACCATGCCATAAGTGTGACATTCAAAGTTCATTACCTTTTCTCTTGTTTTGATATGGTAATAAGATGTCACAGTATGGTGATATACGTGGCTCTTAAAACGCATGCAAGCTATAACTGCATCACAGCATTTTTGTAGTGCTCCAGGCAGCACGAGGAAGGGATGAGAGTACCAGATGTGGTTTCTGTCACAACTACTCTACTTTGCAGTTGAAAGCACAAAACAAGCCATAGCTAATTTATAAACAAATAAGCATGGCCATGTTTCCGTAACACTTTATTTTTATGGACATTGAAATTTACATTTCCCTTGTCACATATGAAATATTCTTGTTTTAATTTTACTTTTCAGTGATTTAAAAACGTAAAAACTATTCTTAACCTCAAGGCTTTACAAAAAGACTCCATTGATCAGATTTGGGCTCTGCACCATAAATTGCCAACCACTGTTTTATAATATTGAAAATTTACTAGAGAGATGTTTTAAAGTAATCCTGTAAGTACTGTATAATCTTCAGTTGTTAATATATAGAAACATGTAGTATGTTTTTAAAACACGTAGAACGGGACAGATTCCACAGGAAGAGTAAATACATTTTCTTACCTAGATTGGGGCTAAAGGGAGGACTTAAAGATCTAAGGCTCAAACTTGTGACTTTAGATGTTTGAATGGTCTCTTAGGCTGGAAATAAAGTAAGAAAGGGGATTAAACATTGTGAAATGTAAGAGTTCAAAAATAGGTTTTCTGAACCTATGGTGGGTCTTCTCATCTTTTAAAACATTTTAAAAAGTTAATTGATGGCTTTGTTTTCAGGTATCATCAGAGAGTCTTATATATTGATATTGATATCCATCATGGTGATGGTGTCGAAGAAGCTTTTTATACGACAGATCGTGTAATGACTGTATCATTCCATAAATATGGGGAATACTTTCCTGGAACAGGAGACTTGAGGGTAAGACTGAATTTCTGTCTGAATAAGAATTATGATATAGGGCGCCTGGGTGGCTCAGTTGGTTGGGCGGCTGCCTTCGGCTCAGGTCATGATCCTGGAGTCCCTGGATCGAGTCCCGCATCGGGCTCTCTGCTCGGCGGGGAGTCTGCTTCTCCCTCTGACCCTCCCCCCATCTCATGTGCTTTCTCTCTCATTCTCTGTCTCTCAAATAAATAAATAAAATCTTTAAAAAAAAAAAAAGAATTATGATATAAATATTAGGAGAACTGAGGATGCTAATAATCATCTAAACTAATATTGTTCTTGAGTTATTCATTTGAAATTTGTATGCAGAATTGAGTCATTTTACATGCTATAAAACATTTGCTAGAGTTCACTTTTGTTGACTGTAAGCAGAAATTTAGTGATAACTGAGAGGACTTTTTTTTTGCTCAGCCATTTTCTTTGGTTGAATAATTATTTTTGAACATCCCTGAAGCACGAAGAAGTTTTCTAGATGTTTATTTGCATCTTCAAAACCTATTTGATAGTAGCCAACATTGCTGTTGATTGTAAAGATTGGTGGAAGAAAATAACTAAATCTTTTAGGTTCTTGTACTGCTCTCCTTTTATGATGAATCTTGATTTAATAGGCCTAATTTTAATCTCTTTTTCCGTAGGCTTCTGAAATTTGTAGTCTATATCATTTGGAGAGAGAAAGAATACCATAGCTTATCCTGCCTGCCTATTACATTAAGTGCATTTATTTCTTTTATATTTCTGTTATCTTCTTCCATTTAGTGCTTTTTTATTGTCTGAATGTGAAAATCACTGGTCAAATCTTGTTTGTACAGAGTTCCTGAAGTTTTTTTGCTTCGCTAGTTTTTCTTGAACCAGACTATGTACATGTTGAAATTTATTCAGAAATTTAAATAGCCTTTTTTAATTCAGCCTGGATTATATGGGAAATTTCTCTTATCATGGCATTCAGTATTCTAAGTTATTTTATTAAGGTTATTTTTCATATCTGTGGTATGTAGTTATAGCTACTTAGCAACCAAAAGTTTGAAGAGTGGCCTTATTTTTCAAATACGTGCGTTTTTTTATTTGACCACAAGATGGTGCTCTTTCAGTAAGAGTTGTGATGTGAAATCTTTACTTAAAAATGGACAGAAGGTCAATTGTTTAATTTATTTGAGTTTAAATTATGTGGCTCTTAAAATTGCAAATGTATATATTCAGTTCCATGACTATTAGCTCCTTCAGTGCCTTTTCCCCTTGGTCTTAACTTAAATACAGTGATTCTTAGAGTATGACCCTTAAACTAGCAGTATCAGCAGCTCCCGGGAACATACTGTCAGGCCTCCGAAACTGGTTCTGCACACTAATGTTAGAGAACCATTGCTCTAAACCGGTAGAATTCCTTGGTCTGCAGCCATTTTACTCTGTGAAAATTCAGCAAAGCCTTCCCAGTTTTAAGCTTAAAGAAAGTCTCTTTTCAATATAATCCTAGTTAATCTCAGAAATGGTGAAACTGGCCTCTGTGATCATTTCTGACAGTATTCTTATGATTGTTTGAAGTTGTTAGAAAGTATTGGAGAATGGGTGTTTTTTAAAGGTTTTAGAATGACTTTCAATTTCTCTTTTACTCACTAAACATTTACACTTACTATATGAAATGTCATCATAATATTTTCCCTTTGGTTATTATAAAGGTGTCCCCAAAATTTTGTAAGGAAATCAAAGTCAGTCATACATGGAGTTATATTTAGAATTTCATGAAACTTGTGTGTATCTTCGATGTTAATTTAATAAACATTCCCTTTCTACCTACCAATTTATTCTAAATTAGAAAAGAAAGCTACTTTGAGCTTAGGTCATTGTTAAAACTGCTTGCATTTATTAGATCAGGAGTCTAAGTAGGGGAAAAAAGGGTATGCTAAAGGAGCAGTTGAGGAGTAAGATACAGGAGGGATAAAGCTTGGTGCAACAAGGGCAGCAGCTGAGGTGCCAGCTTTCGGCTAGAGTGAGACGTGCTGACAGCTTTCTGTGTTCTGAACTCTTAGTGTCAGAGTATGTTCCAGCAGTTTAGTTTTTAGTGCAGAATTTTAAGAATTCACAGTGCTTTAGTTTATCCACATCTGAATGGTATGTATTTAGTTATATATAAACATTTAGATTTCTTCCAAGAAAAGTTGTTGGGGGAGATACATAATTCCACTTACTTTTTCTTCCTTGGAAGTTGGGTCATGATAACTCTAATATTGAAAAATAAACTATGCTTTTTTAAAATGAATCAGAGAGATAAAGGAAGACTTGTACAAAAGCATTAGTAATCCTAAAGATTCATGTATATTGAGACATAATTTAAAAGACATAAGAATTGGGCTCCTGGGTGGCTCAGTTGTTAAGCATCTTCCTTCGGCTTAGGTCATGAACCCAGGGTCCTTGGATCGAGTCCCACATCGGGCTCCCTGCTCAGCGGGAAGCCTGCTTCTCCCTCTACCTGCCACTCCCCCTGCTTGTGTTCCCTCTCTCGCTGTGTCTCTGTCAAATAAATAAAATCTTAAAAAAAAAAAAAAAAAAGACGTAAGAATCTGTTACCGCCAATTCTTTGGTGTTGCAGGTAAAGAACTATTTTGTAACAATTTTTGTGCTATACCATTTCTTTTAGGAATTAGATGTGTGTGTGTGCACTCAGGTACATTTTACACACATGGATCTGTGCATGCATAATATATATACAAATAGTATATGTAGTGTGTGTGTGTGTGTGTGTGTGTGTGTGTATTTTATAAGTGTGTATATATTGCTGAACCCAGCTCTCAGTTTCTCTTGCTTCTTTGGGAAGTACTAATACCCAGAGTGGAATTTATTCAACAAATAGAAACAAAATTTATTTCAAGCCCAATTAAAGAGTAGATTTTGGTGCTGTAGTCTACAGTTGTCAAAACTTGAGGAAGTAGGAGCTTTTCTTTCATCATAAATAAACTTATACCAGAATGTGAGCCACAAGAGCGATTCTGCATTATAGAGACAGTTGTCCTCCATGATTCTTTGGCTTAGAGTATTTATTTTCTGTAGTTTTACTCATAACATTGTCATACATATTCTGTTCATGATTAATTTCTTGGTCTAATGTAATATTGCCTCTAATTGTTAAATTTCTTTTCTCCCCAAAATAACCATTACAGATTAATTGGAATTGGTTCTGTTCAGCTTAATAAAACAATCCATTAATATTGGAATTTACACCTATTCTGTATTACTTCCTTTCTTCACCTAAAAGATGAATTCAGAATTGGATATTATTACCTAGTTTTTTAATCTTGTAAAAAAATACTTTAATAAACATGTCAAGCATTTTTACTATGAAATATTTTCTAAGAACTGTTTAATTGTGTGTTTTAGGATATTGGTGCAGGAAAAGGCAAATACTATGCCGTCAATTTTCCAATGAGAGATGGTATAGATGATGAGTCTTATGGGCAGATATTTAAGCCTGTAAGTATTATTATTTTCAAAATCAAAATGGAATTTTAAAGTAATTTTACAGATATTAACATTTGTTATCTTGCACATAGATTATCTCAAAGGTGATGGAGATGTATCAACCTAGTGCTGTGGTGCTACAGTGTGGAGCAGACTCACTATCTGGTGATAGGCTTGGTTGCTTCAATCTGACAGTCAAAGGTAAGCAGTTTAATGGGTGATAGTCCCAGGAACATTTTTTTTTTTTTTCTTTCCAAGAACTTCCCATAAAAATTATCATAATTTTTTGCCTACTATATTAACACGTTTTGTATTTTTCATTGGTTTTTGTCGAATGTATGTATGCATTTGGAATTAATTTTTATAACTATAATTATGCTGTTTCAGTAAATTAGGTTGTTTTTTATTTTGTTGATACATTCATACATGAGTAGTTTTATAAAGCTTCTTGCAGTCCTAACCAAGGCAGCCATTTTCAGTGTTTTTTGGTTGCTCCTTTTGGTGTTCATCGTTCTCCAAGTACCATGCAAACTAACTTTATTTTATTTTTATTTTTTATTTTATGTTATTTTATTTTAAAGTAATCTCTGCACCCAACATGGGGTTCGAACTCAAAACCCTAGGATCAAGAGTTGCATGTTCCTCAGGGCACCTGGGTGGCTCAGGAGGTTGAGCATCTGATTCTTAATTTTATTTCAGGTCATGATCCCCCAGGGTCATGGGATCGAGCCCTGCATTGGGCTCTGCGCTCAGCAGGGAGTCTTCCTTGAGACTCTCTCTCTCCCTGTACTCCTCCCCCTGTTCATGTTCTCTCTCTTTCTCTAAAATAAATAAAATCTTAAAAAAAAAAAAAAAATGAGTTGCATGCTCCTTCAACTGAGCCAGCCAGGTGCCCCAAACTTTGTTACTTTCAATTTTAGCTTTGTATATTCACTTACTATCATGGAAGAAAAGGGATTTAGCTCTTTTTCACCACTTTGTCCCCAACACATGCATACACCCTTCCAGTATCTTCCTTTTTACAGTTTAAATCTGGTAATTATACTAGAATTTTGGTGTGGCATTCAGTGTTTACAAAGTCATCAACATTAAAGCACTTTTTAAAGGCTTATCAAATTGTTCTTTATTGTATAACTTGTTTTTCTTTCCTAATTTTTTCATTACTTGGCTTTCTCTTTAATCATTATTAAACCACCAGTATCTAAATAGCTTCAGATGTTCAGGTGCATCAAGTATTCCGTCATTTTTACTTTCTCGAAGAATAGCCTTCTGACCTGTTACTGTTTGGATGAGTATCCCCTATAGACTTGGTAGAAAAAGAGCTCTTTGCTTCTCTTTTTTTTATAGGCCCTCCCTCCCCCATTGCTCTTTCCTCTGTCTTGCTCTTAATTTTTGTGTCATTTTGGTGGAGCACTTTCTCAATAGCTTTCTGAGAAAAGATGTTTTGGGGGATCAAAAATTTAAATTTGATCAAGTGTAGAAATTTTAATAAGTTCTTAAAATTTGTTATATGGGGATCAGTAATGATGAATATTGTACATGATTTTGTAGTTTTCCTTTTGAATTTTCAGCTAACAAATGGATGTTCTTGGATTGAATTGCCTCATAAGATGTGAATTTTCAAATAGAACTTTTCTAAAATGACTTGGCTTAAATGGAATTAAATAACTAAATCCAGACACTAAAGTCTTTTATTTAATGTTATGATTGCTTCTGTACCAGTTAGCATTAGAATTAATGGTATAATCTGTTCTGCTTTTATTAGGTTGAAGCATACAAACTTGATTGCCCCTTTTCTTGGTAGGTCAACGGTGGTCAAATAGCAGTTTCTTATCGTTGAACTTAGTGTGTTGAAAACCATCTGTTGGCCTCAAAATGAACATGATCTTCCTAATGTACAAAATGGGTATTAACTGTCTGTTTTCATGTCCTAGCACTTTGAAAATGCTTTGATGCTTTCATACTTAAAAGTAGTAGCATTCATAATCATAAACTGCAGTGTTTTACTTTTGTAATAATCTATGTTTCAACTGTTAGAATTTCCATTGTATAAAGTATTAAGGATATTTATAATCCCAGATCTTAAACTTGATTCTGTTTTCTCCACTGCCAGCTTCAATTTAGATTTCTCAGGTCGTTTAAAGGTGGACTTCTTGTCCATCTCTTTTCTACCTTCATTTATGTTGTTACTGTATGTTCTCTGCCATTCTTCATTTTTTATAGGTTTCAGTTTTAGCCTTTAAAAAATTCTCTTATACTCATTTTTTGAGAAAAAGGAAAGTATTTTTGTTTAGCTGTCTTTACTCAGAAGTCTATAAAAGCTAACTTTTTGTTTGTCTTTAAAAATAGCAAAGTGGTTTTTATGTATTATAAGAAGCCCATGTTTTAGTAGCAGTAATAGAAATTAGGTTATGAATTTTATAGTGCAACAGTTGAATACTCAATGGAAATGCTCACAAATACACAATTACATGAGAAAAAAAATTTAAATCTTACCAACTCAGAAGGAATTGGAAGGAAATACTTCAAAAACTGTCTTTGGATGATGGAGTTTTAAATAGTTTTTCTTTGTACTTTTTTTGATTTTTCCAAATATTCTTCAGTAAGCATGGATTTCTTCTGTAATTGAAGGGTTTTTTTTTTTCTTTAAAGACTGATTTGTATGCCTGAATGATTGATATATTATTAATACTGGTAACTAACTTTTAATTATTAAAAAGTCACATTTATCCAAAGGAAATATTTCGTTTTTATATTAAGTTTACTTTCTATTCAAATTTCTACACGTAGATAGTTGTTGAAGTATTTCTTATGGTAATAGATAGTAATTTTATAATCTTAGATAAGTTAAGAAAATTACCGATAGTGCTGCTACCTGAAGATAACCTACAGTTAAACTTTGTTGTATAGCTTTTCATAATTTATCTGCATATGTTTATATGGAAAAGTGTTAAAATTTAGATTGTGCATGTTGTAACCTTTTTTCCCCATGTAATGTCACATGAACATAGGATCTTCATACCACATAATGTCTTCCTATGTTAATAAAAATAAGTGTTCTGTTCATATTTTTAATCTTAATTTAGTTGTATAATTCACTTTTCTATTGGGAACACTTGTTAAAATAGCCAATTATATCTTACTGTGTTTTATATATCATTGTGTGAAAGGTATTTAAAAAATTTTAGATTAGAAATTTCTTGAAATTTTTACATATTCTTTAAATACTTAGAAAAGCCGTTTTGGTTGAATAAAACTTTTTGTTTACATTTATTATCTTTTTAAAACTTATTTTTCAAACTTAAAATATTTAGATTTGTTGTTACCCAAATCTTTTTCTTGTCTCAGGTCATGCTAAATGTGTAGAAGTTGTGAAAACTTTCAATTTACCATTACTGATGCTCGGGGGAGGTGGATACACAATTCGTAACGTTGCTCGATGTTGGACATACGAGACTGCAGTTGCCCTTGATTGTGAGATTCCCAATGGTAGGGGTTGATATCTTTATTGCATGAAACTGTCAAGTCTTTTATTTAATGTTATGATTGCTTCTGTACCAGTTAGCATTAGAATTAATGGTATAATCTGTTCTGCTTTTATTAGGTTGAACCATACAAACTTGATTGCCCCTCTTCTTGGTCATCTACCTAGATGACAGAGGGATGATTACAGTAGATTCCAAGCCATGTAAATAGGAGAGCAGACACTTTTAAAAGTTTTCCTGGGGAATATTTCACAGCTTGGATCTGGATTTTGTGCATGGGTTTATGTGAAAACTGAGCTTTTAATATGTCACTTTATTTCATTGTTTTTAATAGAATTGCCATATAATGATTACTTTGAGTATTTTGGCCCGGACTTCAAACTGCATATTAGTCCTTCAAACATGACAAACCAGAACACTCCAGAATATATGGAAAAGATAAAGTAAGAGATCATTGAATTGATTTGATAAACATTTCATCTTTATTTTTATATAGCAGATGTTTCCTTTGTCTCATTTGAAACCTTAAGATTACTGATTTCTTTATTTTTTTCTGAGATAATATGTATGGGCTTCATAGCTCAAAAATATTTCCACTTTCTATTACTTACGGATTTTTAAGTTTCAAAGGGCACTGTAAATTGTATACATTCTTGCCTTACATGAAATTTTCCTTTTCGAAACATTTTGGAAAAGCTTTATCTCCAAGAACAAAGTGTTTAGAGAGCTATTGTAGTACACAGACCCAAGTTTGTGTCCTCTCTCTCTCTCTGCCACACACTAGTTTTGTGACATTTGGCAGGTTAATTTGCCTTTAGGTTATATTTTCTCATCATTGAAATGGGGGAATAAAATAGAACGTACGTTCTAAATTTTGAGGATTAGATGGGTTAATGATAGTCTGTGAAGTATCATGCTTTTATGTTATTATTTCAACTCATAGGTTAAATCAGATAAAAGATGAAATTCTTGCTTAATGTTTCCTCTTAAATTTAAGAGGAACTTGAAAAGAAATGAATTTTTTCTAATAAATTTGCATGTGTAATTTAGACAGCGTTTATTTGAAAATTTACGCATGTTACCTCATGCACCTGGCGTCCAGATGCAAGCTATTCCAGAAGATGCTGTTCATGAAGACAGCGGAGATGAAGATGGAGAAGATCCAGACAAGAGAATTTCTAGTGAGATAATGCCTTGATGTGTATTCTGTTACATTCTTCTGATTTGTTAAAGATATCACTACAGATTAAAGGTTTTAGTGGTCCAAGAACTTCACTATGGGTTATGTTTCATGAGGACACTATTATTATTGTCTGTTTTTTCCCATTTTTAATCTTACATAGATTTACCTTTTTTCTTTTTTAAGATTTTATTTAACAGAGAGAGCACAAGCAAGGGGAGCGGTAGGGAGGGAAAAGCAGGCCCCCCGCAGAGCAGGCAGCCTGAGGCGGGGTTCAGTCCCAAGGATTGGGATCACGACTTGAGCCACCCAGGTGCCCCTAGATTTAACTTTCTTACGCCTTAAAGCCTGATTTGAGTGTCAGTGTTTTTTAGTTCATGTGACTCTCTATATAGGAGCACCTGGGTGGCTCAGTCAGTTAAGCATCTGACTCTTTGATTTTTGATTTTTGGCTCAGGTCATGATGTCAGTGTCAGGAGATCGAGCCCCGCATTGGGCCCCGCAGTGGGTGTGGAGCCTGCTTGGGATTCTCTCTCCCTCTCTCTCCACCCACCCCCATATGCATGTGTGCATGCATGCTCTCAAAAAAAAAAAAAAATTTTAATGTATATTTGGGAATGAATTGGAAAGTAATACCATTTATCCAAAGCAGAGTGAGTTCAGTAACATTAAACACCTGTTTGATTCTCTAGCCTCTCATTCCATTTAATATTGATTGCTAGAGTTGTAGTATAATGGTATCTGTTGTGGTGTAGACCTTCTAACATACTAGATATTAATGGTATTTGTAATGTCTATCTACATCTCCTTTTAGCTCTGAAATAAATGGTCACTCCTTAGGTAAAGACATTATCCCTACCTCCTGTTAGTAAAAAATAGTTTTTCCCTCCAAATTTTTTTTGGTGAATTCCCCAAATGTTTTTCATGTTTCTTTGAATTATACTTCTTCCTAGATCAAATCTAAATTTTCAGTATTGAACAAACCATGCATTCAGTTCTAATCTTAACATCTGTTACCCTGTACTTTTAGATGTGGAAATTGGTTGGTACATTTTACATGAGTGTGTAACAATTATAAGACCTGTGACTGCCTTTGTGAACTTTTATTAAAATCTTTAATCAGTTCGAGCATCAGACAAACGGATAGCTTGTGATGAAGAATTCTCAGACTCTGAGGATGAAGGCGAAGGAGGACGTAGAAATGTGGCTGATCATAAGAAAGGAGCAAAGAAAGCTAGAATTGAGGAAGACAAGAAGGAAACAGAGGACAAAAAAGCAGGTAAGATTTATTTTTTGGTAAATGTGTTTTAATTGTAAGTTTTTAAGATGAGCTTCCCTGCAGTTTTTTATGAAATCCTGAAGTCAGTTGCACAAGTATTAAAAGGGATGGTTAATGCTAGGTAGGTGACTTTTCCGTGTGGTAAGTGGTGCTTACCTTCTGAATTTTTTATTTAAAGCTCTGATAATGTTACTTGTCACATTTGCTCTTACAGAAAACCTTACCTTCTCTTGCTGACGTAGACGTAAAATAGCAAACGTCACACTGTGATACAGATTGGATAAGAAGACAAAGTGGTTATAGATCCATTTGTCGTCTGTGAACAGAGCTCAAATTCTAAGATAGTTTTTAACTACCTGAAGTTTATTTGATGGGAATAAGACACAAAAGAAGAGTTATCCTTAGACCAGTTTCACCATTGTGACAAAGCTGAGAGAGTAGACTTTGCTCAGAAATTGTTTGATGAAAACCTTAAAACTCTGAGGAAAGATAGGAAGGTATTTGGAAGCTGGGTTGGAGGGGGAGGTATAATACTTTGATGCCATCACTTAAAAATGCTGCTAGCTCGTCTCATGACAAAATGATACTTTAGGCAGTAAATTTACTACTAGAATCTGTTACCTTTTATCTGCGTTCCCAGAGCACTTATACATACCTTGGTCATTTTATTTAACATAAATTATAATGCCTCGTTGCAGGATTTTATGTGCCTCCATGCTAGATTGAGCTCCTCGTGGCTAGGGAACACAGTATCTTGAATATCTATATTCTTAACACCTAGTGTGTTTCTTGATTGAGTGGCTACCTGATACCTGTATACAGGTAATGGTGATGAAGATGAGTTTTAGTTGGCTGTTAATTTTGAGCCTGTAGTGTGTGGAAGACTGCCAGACGATAGACAGACTTGGCCAGCATCCTTTTCCTTGTATCAGTCACATGGAAGTTTTCTCTTTTTTACTAGAGAGGTTAGGGTTCCCCAGCATATCTGACACTTCCACGTCTGTTCTTTTACTCGTGATTCACTCCACTGTAGGCTACCATTCTCTACCATTTTATAATTTTAACTTTTGAATGTATCACAGTGAAGGCTCCAGTCTGCCCTTACATACTGATTGACATCCAGGTATTCCACTTATGTCTGCGGTAAGGAGGGCTTAGCTTTAGCTGTAGGGCTTTTCTAGTATTTTTCATTTCTTTCACCATCAGTACAATATTCTTGGCATTTTTGGAGTTTCTTCTCATTTTAAAAATCTTCAGCTTTTTTGTGCTTCCCCCCTCCCCCAAATGGGAAAGCACCTTCACTAGGGTGCTACTTGTCTGTCATTGCTATTCTAGCTAAAAATGAGAGTACCCTTTGATCTGGCTTAATGACATTGTAGTGGATTAATCTCTTAGTATTTAGCTCCTCAAAACTTTGGCTGCTGATAATGATAATTAAAAAAAAATTATTTTGTGGTGGCTCTTCTTTGTTTAAAATCCTTTGTCTTACACATAAAGAAATACTACCATAGAAAACTTTTTTTTTTAAATCTGTAAATCAGAACCTAAATTTGGGGCCATTTCTTTTTTCTTCCTCCCTTTCCCAGTTCTGTTTTGGCACTTTGAATTACTAAGTTTACATATCCAAAATTAAGCCAGAAGTTGAAAAAAAATCATAGTATCCTTATTGTCACACACATTTTTTGTATTGTAAGTGAGACCAATCCCCTGAAATGTCTATGTAGAATGCTTAATAACAGTGTTTATAATCAGATACCTTTATTGTCAGGTCATGGATTCACAACTTCAGTTCATATGTTTCTTTAAAGAAATTCAGCACATTTGGGCTAATTTGTTTTAGTAATCTTGAGTTTGTAGTGTTAATGTTACTATTTTATTGATTTTTATTAGAATGGTAAAATTTTAAGACTTACACAGTCTGGGTTAAAAGTGAGTGGTATAAGCAGTAGGATTTAGTCTCTACTGTGCCCCTGGGCTTATCTTAACGTAATTCTCCTGTCTTTTCACAATACTTCAGTCCCAGTGGTCTTTCGGTTTTTCCTTCTAAACTGTTAGCTCTGTCTTGCCTGGGGTGCCTGGATGGCTCAGTCTTGGTTAACCGTCTGTCTCTGGCTTAGGTCGTGATCCCAGGATGCTGGGATCGAGTCCTACATTGGGCTCCCTGCTCTGCTGGGAGCCTGCTTCTCCCTCTGCCTCCCTCTCTCTCTGTCTCTCATGAATAAATAAATAAAATCTTTAAAAAAAAATTCTGTCTTGCCTCAAAACTCCTTTTAAGTTTTCCTTCTGTTCAGGATACTTCATCCCTTTTCCTACCCAAAAGCTGTTCATTCTTGGGACTCCTCTCAAATGTCGCTTCGCTGTGGTAGCCTTCCCCAACCTCCCTCAGTGCTGTGCTCATGTGTGTAGGCTGAACTTCTCCACAGCACATATCCCAGCTGTAATATTGTAGTATAAGGGAAACAAAACTTCAGAAGGGCAGGACCTATGTTGTTACATTGCCCCCTTGAACGTCTGTCATATTTAGCAAAGCTTCTATAGTTACTGAATTCATGAATAGTAATATTGTATATGACAGCTTTTTATATTTTAAGTATATTTTAAAATGTATATATTTTGTATTTTAAAATAGGCTTTAATCTCTTCCCAATTTTTGTTTTTAGATGTTAAGGAAGAAGATAAATCCAAGGACAGTAGTGGTGAAAAAACAGATACCAAAGGGTAAATTATATTCTTTATCTAGTAATTTTTATATACTATAAAAATAATAAATACATTTACTTTGGGTGTGTATGTGTGTATTCTTTTGAGAACTGCTGGACTGAACTTGCTTGAGAGCATCAGTAAGTTGTATGAGGTGCTCTAAATTTTAGTCCATATTGGTGCATAAGGGAATATATGCCATCTTAACCATCAGTTTATGTGTTGGCTGTTCATCTGTTACTTATGTAGCTTGCCTTAAAAAATGATAGACTTGAAATAATACTGTATAACTGAACATAAATCAGTTTGAACTCTTGTATGTAATGTATCTGAGACCTTTTGCTTTTAACTTTATGTGATCTTTTCATGGTTCTCTTAATTTCTATATATGTGAATTTTTTTAGTGTTGGGAGATGGATAAATTTAAACAGTGGGCTAGCATAATGCAATTCATGATTCAGTTCTGTTGAGCAAAATCATTATTGAAGTTTTTATCTCAGCATATAAATACTTGACCACATACAATTTTGTGCTAGCATTTATAGGATAACTTGGAATAGATTGTAAAATCACTGGAAAGAGTAAGGGAGTTAGTACTCCAAAAACAAGGCATTATCATGTGTTTCTGGGCATGACCCTACAGGACCTTAATATTTTATGTTGCCTCTTTTAACAGAGCCAAATCAGAACAGCTCAGCAACCCTTGAATTTGAATGTCTCACCAATTTCAGAAACCATAAAAGAGAGAAAATATTGGGAAGAAAAATTTTTTCTTTTTGAAGACTTCTGGCTTCATTTTATACTACTTTGGCATGGACTGTATTTATTTTCAAAATGGCTTTTTTTGTTTTTGTTTTTCTTGGCAAGTTTTATTGTGAGTTTTCTAATTATGAAGCAAAATTTCTTTTCTCCACCATGCTTTATGTGATAGTATTTAAAATTGATGTGAGTTATTATGTCAAAAACTGATCTATTAAAGAAGTAATTGGCCTTTCTGAGCTGATTTTTCCATCTTTTGTAATTATCTTTATTAAAAAATTGTACTTGGATTGTCTTTTGTCTGTTTATTACGACATTAAATCCTTTTTCGAGGGCTAATAACATGACTTTCTGTACAATTAGAATATACTAGGAGTGAAAGATAACTGATTACAACTTCAAGGACATCATTTACTGTTCAGGAAAGAGTATTTTACAGTACTTATTTCTTAATGCAATCGCAGTTCTACCATCTTGTTTTTTATAGTTCGGCCAGTCACTACCCGTAAAGATTGGCATCTCGTTATAATAATTTATCTCTACATTAATAATATAAGCTGTGCAATTGAAATACAGGAATTATATTTGAGCTGAACCAAAGATTCCCAAAAATTGGAAGTGAAAATTCTGAATTGAAAGAAGAAATCATAGTCTGAGAAGGAAACTGTCTTCCATACTGAGCAATATGTGACTTTGTTGCTAACCCCACCATGTACCAAGTAGAAAAGGAATCATGTGGTTGTGTTTGATCAGAATTTTCCTGTATTCATATTAAGTCTGTCTAAAATAAAACCTATTTAGACAAAACCTGGTCCTTTTACTGCATTTTACATAGCATCCAGGTTCCACTATTGCACACAAGTTTCCAAACCAAGGAAGTAAACACTTAAAAGAATTAGTTTATTTTTCAATTTATTGAGTATCTGTTCATTTTAATGCCTTGCGTATACAACTGAAAGTAATGGGAAAATGCCTGCACCCACAGCTTGCATTCTAGTGGTAGAAAGCAGACAAGTGGGTAATTTATACTTACTTTACGATAAGCAACAGAAAAAATAAAACGTTTTAGGAACTTGTCGAAATGAGCGAATAAATTACTTTTTTGCTAGACCTGCAGTGATTGTTTTGAGATAAAAATCCTAAAATTCCAGATGATGATGTGGAAGATGTTTCTCTATAAGACCCTGTGTTGAGAAATATTTCAGACATTCACAGAAGCACCCGGATTTAGGTAATGAACGGCCATGTACCCACTCAGATTTAATAGACTTTTCACTTTTACCATATTTGGTTCAAGTGTTTTTTTTTTTTCCTTTAAATATACCAGTTTGAAGACTTCTTTATACACTTTGCCATTTAACTCCCCTTTCCCACTTTTCAGAAATAACCATTACTCTGAAGTTCATGGATATTTTATCCATGTTTTTACTCTTGCAGCAAATCCGTCAGGATCTAAGCCTTTATGACATTAGGTATTAACTCAGTCCTTCAGGGACTAAGGAAATGTATTTAGTGTTTGTGAAACAAAAAGTATCACATACATACACTTGTGTAACTTGGTTCTTAAATTGTGATTTATCCCTGTTGACCAAGTGTAATTCATCTTAACTGCGATGCATTACTGTTCCATGTGTCTAAAGGACACACCAAACATCTGTTTCAATACCATAATGAATCTCCTTGGGCACATTTACGTTTTGTTTTCCTATTTACAAATACAAGCATTATGTATTAACTGAAGCTTCAAGAGAATTATGAAACAAGCACATTCAGCCTAAGTGACCTGGTACGACCTCCACACAACTGCTCAAAGAACAAGGACCCTGTTTACAAAAGAGCAATAACAAAAATTTCTAGGAATAAAATTATACAGAAGCTATAGTTCTGGTGTATAATGAGAAAGATCAGTGTAACAGATAAATATCAATATATGTTTGGAAATAATGGATAAATATTTCAGATTGGTGAGGGAAGAAAAAGGGTTATTCCTTAAGGAGTGCTGGGATAATCGATAGTCATACGGGAAGTTTTATACCTTCCACCAGAAGAATCGAATTTAAATTGCAAAGGGAAAGTGAGACCGTAAGTACTAGAAACTTCAACAGACTTAAAAAAGTAATTGGAGTAGATAAAGTCTGACTCCAAACTATAGACAAAATAATTGATATATTTAACTAAAAAAAAAAATTGAGGCTAACAAAACACTTAAGTTGAAAACAACACGGCAGTGTGCAGAAAGAATTACAACTTGGCAGCAGTTCAAAAGCCTAATATCTAAAGCTAGTAGAGAAGGACTGAAAAAGTGCATGAAGGATAAGAACATTGGGAAAGAAATACAAACAGTTATTAAATACAAAAAGATCTTGAACCACTTAGGAAATGCAAATTAAAATCTATGAAGGTGATTTTTAATTTTTGGACCATTTTTTAAACCTATCATAAACTTGAAAAACAAGTGTTGGCAAGAGGATGAGGAAATTGTCATACATTGTAATAGAGCGTGTGAGTCACTATAACCTATGATGACTTACTTTAACATCCTATATCAAAATTACGAATAAAAACCTGGAGAGCCTGGGTGGCAGTCGGTTAAGTGACTGACTAGGATTTGGCTCAGGTCATGATGTCAGGGTTGTGAGATCGAGCCCTGCGCTCTGTGGGGAGCCTGCTTAGGATGCTCTCTCCATCTCCCTCTGCCCTTCCCCCTGCACTTGCTCGTGCACACTCAAATCTTTTTTAAAAATTGCAAATAATGTGATTCAAAATTTCATTTTGAGAAATTTAACACACTTGTGCAAATGACTTTCAGAAATCTTCATTATGCAACATTGAAATAAAAGATTAAAATGACTTAAATGTTATGTAGAGGAGGAGTTGAATGATAGTTCTGAAAGAATAGAGCCATAGCAAGTATGAGAAGTACATGCTATATATGGAAATATCTCAACATCTACCATTAAGGGAAAGAAGGAAGAGGTGGAATACGTGACATACACTACCTTTATTTGTGTGTAAAAAGAAAGGCAAAATTGATTATACAAATAACATCTAGGAAAGATAATGAAATGAGGCATTGGGCGTTGGCTGCTTTCATGGAGATTCGAATGTTGGACCATGTGAACATTACCCCAATTAAAAAACACAAGCAGGGGCACCTGGGTGGCTCAGTCGTTAAGCATCTGCCTTCGGCTCAGGTCATGATCCCTGGGTCCTGGGATCCAGCCCCGAATCAGGCTCCCTGCTCAGCGGGGAGTCTGCTTCTCCCTCTCCCACTCCCCCTGCTTGTGTTCCCTCTTTCACTGTGTCTCTCTCTCTCAAACAAATAAATAAAATCTTTAAAAAAAAAAAAAACAACAGATGATTTCTAGTCCAAGGGATAGAAATTTTACACAACCTTACAACTTCCTTTTCCATGTCTCAAAATTATCTTTTGAAATGACGCAGATTCATGCAGTTCAGTTGCTGGGACAATAGAGACTATCTTAGTTTCATTTCTTCTCAGGAGAAGAAAGGCGTGTCATGTGGCTCAAAGCCATTGAGCCTAAGACATTGAGCCTAAGCTGAGATTATAAAAACCATCTGGAAGAATCATGTTCCTGATCAGGGTAGAGTAGCTATCAACTCTCACTAGCATTTCATTTTTTAAAAATGCACTTTGAAATTAAGACCTCAACTCGGGAAAAAAAAACAAAGCAAAACAGCGGTCCTTTAATTTAATGAAGATGTTGCTTTGTTCTTAATTTTTCACATTTCCTCGTGACATAGGTGAATGCTTTCTCCAAGTCAGCATCCGTACTATAAGGTAGTTACATAATAACTAATCTTGGTCCTTCTACCAAAGCTACTAGCATTCTGTCAATAGAGGAGAGTTTTTGAAGTTCTTATATTGAAGTAATTTACCTGCATCTTCCGGTTCCAGTGCCTTCAGTAAAAATCTTTCTGAAGCTTCTCTGTTCTCTGGGATTCATAACATTTCTTATTTATATGGTGATATAAATGACATAACATTTCTTATTTATATGGTGATAGAAATGACATGGGTTTTCAAGGTTTAAATAAAAACTTTGATTCGTGTGCTATCACAAGTAGTACATTTCAGTAGTGTAAGATCTCTTTTTCTTCACCATAATCCTGTGTAAGTTACTAACCTCTGTGCCTCCATTCCTTTTTAATTTAAATGAGGAAGATGATAGTCGTCCTTACCTCATAGGGTTATTGGAAGGATTGAGTTGATACATAGTTAATGCTCAGTAAGTGTAAGCTGCTGCTGTTAAGCCTGGCTGGCTCAGTCCATAGAGCATATGATTTGGTCTCGGCGTCGTGAGTTCGAGCCCCACGTTGGGTGTAGAGAGTACTTAAAGAAAAGAAATATAGGAATCCGTAAGTGTCAGCTGCTGTTGTTACCATGTCAGGTAAAGGTTGGTAGATGAGGCCAAAGTGATTCAGGGGGAAAGTCTTGGATCTTCAGGTATTCTTTATTTTTTTTTTAAGATTTTATTTATTTCAGAGAGAGAGAGAGACAGAGAGAGGAGGGGGAGAGGCTGAGGGAAAGGGAGAAGCAGACTCCCCACTGAGCAGGGAGCCCGACATGGGGCTCGATCCAGGACCCTGGGATCATGACCTGAGCCGAAGGCAGATGCTTAACCGACTGAGCCACCCAGGCGCCCCTCAGGTGTTCTTTAAACATCACATGGGTTGCCTTTGAGCCTTTTGGTGCAGTCTGATGCCTACTAAAACTCCTAGGTCATGGTGGATAAAGAAGCAATCTTTTGAGAACTGATTTTCGCAAGGAAGCTAGCAAGATTTGGCAAATTTAGGAGGATATTAATGCCCCTACAATTTACTTGATGATAATCTGTCAAGCAAAACTGTTGTGAATGGGTTATAGAAAAAATAGGACTTACATTGTTATTGGCTATTCACATGAGTAGCGATGTTAATGTGAAGAAATAATGCTCAGGAGAGTTACAGTATTTAGAACTGCTGAACAATTGCTGCATTTCCTCACCTCACCACAAGATGGCATATATTCTATTGTTTAAATGCTGTTCTATTTGTGCTTTTTCTCCTGTAGTCACTTGGTCCATTTAACAAGCAGAGTAACATATACTAACTGGTTCTTTTGGATGCAGTATTGGATTCAATACTATTTGAATTAAGCTACAATTTGGTGTACTCATTTGGGCTTTTCTTTAATAATTATAACACTAATTCCTGAGCTTTATATCCGTAACACACAAGAGAATGTATCTGGTAGTAAATCATGCCTTCTCTCGTAAAAAGTAGAATA